GTGTGCAGGACCGACGACTGCTTGGAGATCTTCTTGAAAAGGGATTTTCTCCTGGTGGGAGAAACAGGAATGATCTCAGCTTCTCCTTAAAGCTGTTGGCTCCAAGTGTGCCAGCCTGGTGCTAGATGGATGAGACCCCACTGGACACCCCAATATAGCAGACCTAGGGTATCCCTCCAGTATGGAACACACCAGGACCAATGCCATTTTATCCCACTCTGGTTCTACCCACCTGTCCTGGCCATCCCTTTTCCTGCTCTTCTTACTCCTCCGTGCCATCCTCGTTTTGGAGCTGTTTTTCCGTGCGGGGCCAATTTTAATGGAGGTGTTCTCCAGGGCAGTAGTCCGCAGGGCCACTTTATTCCCACTCTGAGGGATGGAAAACAAATGGCTGCAGCAGCAGATCTAAACTGGCTCCTGCCTCAGCTGCTGGCAGAGGTGATGCCAGGGAGCTGAATTGTTGTCCCAATCCTGGGGGAGCAGAGAGGCTCTGGTCACTCACCTTCAGCAGCAGCTCCACGACATCCCGGTGAATTAAACCCAGCACCGACTCGCCGTTCACGTGTGTGATGAGATCACCTGCTCTCAGCCCTGCTTCCTGTGCTGGGCTCCCCTCTTCCACGCTCTGCAGTCAGAAGGTAAGGATTTTATTCAGATGTAGGCCTAGGTTTCCTCCTGGGGTTTTCCCATTGGGAAGCATGGTGTCTGGCACCGCTGGTCCCTCCCCAGGCCACTCACCCAGACCATGTGGTGGACAGTGTAGACGTCGCTGTCCCCCATGTAGACGCGGATGGCTCGCAGGGTGAAGCCATACTTCTTCCCTGAGCTGTGGATGATGATGGGTGGCCGAAGGCTGGCGATGGCCAGGGATGAGTCTCGGCTTGGGGAGGAGTCCCGCGAAGAAGGGTTGGATGAGAGGGAGTGGGGGGAGATAGGGCTCATCAGGGCACCACCACCAAAGTCATCTGCAAGAAGGAGAAGCAGACTAAGCCCAGGAAGACCATATGGGAAGCACCATTGGTCAGGATAAACCTCCCAGCACACAGACCTGATGTGATGATGAGGGACAGGGCTGAGACAGAGGCAGATTTGGGGACACGGCTGCCCAGCGAGGCTCTCTGCCTCTCTGGAATATCCTTCTGGGTGCTCAGCCGACGGCCCCCGCTCGGCTCCAAGCTCCGAGGAGTTGAGTTTTTGTTGCCGGTGCTGTTGCTCCGGAGGCGAATGCGGTTCAGGCTGACGAGATCAGCTGCACAGAGGGGAAGAGGGAAAGTTTGGGCAGGTGGAAAAGTCACCCCATGCCACGCAGGACTCCAACTGCCCGCAGAGCATCCCACACCAGTGCCCACAACCTACGCACCTGACAGCGCCGACTGCTTCACTGCGCCACCAGTCCCCACCTCAGGGTCTCCCACCACAAACTTGGGTCTCTCTGGCTTGGAGGATGCTACGGAAGGACTTTCATCCTCCGAGGAGAAGGCAAACTTGGGCATGGTGTCCAGGCTGAGGGTGCTGGGCAACGCGGTAGGGCTGCGGCTTCGCTCGTGCCGGGAGGTGTACTGTGTGGAGCTGCCAGATGTCCAGGAGCGGAGCCTGCGTGGGAAGAGCAGGAGGGCTCAGGACAGCCAAAAATGGGCAAGGGGGATGGCACTGAGATGCTGTAGCAGCCCAGAACACATCTCACCAACCACTCTGCAAACCCTCGGTGCCAGCACAAACACCTTGGTCTCAGAACTAACTCTGAGTGCTGGCACAAGCCCTTGGTGCTGCTGGCACAAACCCTTGGCACCAGCAGAAGTCAACCTCAGCAGTGGGAAGCACCACATACCGGGGCTCGGTGCCTGCTGGACGGCTCTTGTCCTCATCCCCCGAGTGCCGGTCCCATCGCTCCTCTTTGTCATCGCAGTGACTCCGGTCAGAGGACGAGAGGCTCAGGTTGGAGTTGACCGCCAGGAATTCAGAGCTGCTGTAGACCTGAAGAGCAGAGGAGATGTCAGCAAAGAGCAGAAATTTGGGAATCCAGGTGCTCCAGCATCAGCCAAGACACCAATGTTCAGCACCACAGCACTGGACACAGTGGCAAAGCCTCTGGAGGAGGGACTGGAGCACCTTGCTGAAGCGGTGGGAGCAGGAGGAGAACTGTCCGATCTCCACCGATGATTCCTCATCGTTGGTTTCCTCATCCTCCGAATCCAAGTGCCGATACCTCTCGGAGCGAGCTGAAAGCAAGAGCCAGAGTGAGAAGGGCTGTCACCCTGACTGCAACACCTCACGTCCTGCCTGCAGCCAGGTGGGACCTACACCCATGGGTACTGCAGCTGACAGCCTGGTCCCAAATCCCAGGAGAGTTTTGGGGGGAGAAAGTAAGGCTTTTGACAAGGCTGAGTAGCCTGGAAAGAGGATTGCATCTGTTTTGTGACTTTGGTTGTAAAACGACCAGCTTCAGCCAGGAGATTTTCATTTCCCACAGGAGCATCCAGAGTGCAGCTGGGATAACAGACTGGCAGAGAGGGGAAGGGAGTGGATTTGGTCTCACTGTCGAAGTAGCTGGTGTCATCCTCCGACTCCAGCTGGGGGATGAACTCAGCCTTCTGCCGCAGCAGCCCATTCCAGTCCAGATGGAGGAAGAAGGAATGGTGCTTCACCTCGTGTGCACCTCCTGCCAGGCAGAGAAATCTGTGTCAGAGGGACAGTGCAGGATCCAGAATGTTCCCGTTCCCATCCCGAATGGCACGGTCCCTCCTCCATGCAGAGCAAATGGCTTCAAGCAGGATGGACTGGAGCACTGTGCAGCCTTCTTGGGGTGAACCCTGAGCAGGAGACCTGCTCCAAGCACCCTCCACACACCAGGACACACTTTGGGCTCAATGCCACACAAGCTTGACCTGAATTGGGGTGCCAGGTCACCCCCCAAGCTACACAGGGACTGCCATGCATACCAGTGCCCAAGCGCTCGAGGGGACATTGTCTCAGCAACCGCGTGATCAGGTCCTGGGCGTCTGCAGGAAGAGCCTCATCCCCTTCTGGCCACATAATTTCATCTGCAAGGAAAAAAGACAAGGAATTTGCAGTGGCTGGAAGAGTTTGGACACTTCTGGGCAACAGGGAAGTTCCTCAGGAGCTGCAGCAGATGAAACATCCTCCCAAAGTGGGAAATCAAAACTTGAGAAAAACCCTCATGGTTCAACCAAATATGACATGAAGGAATGTGACTCCACGTGTTAAGGACAAGCCATGGCTGCTGGGAAAAGCAAACCAAGGAGCAAAATTTCCACTGACACTCACCACTGATGACCTGCCCGAAGAGCTCCTCAGGGGTGTCTCCAAAGAAGGGCACACAGCCCACCAGGAACTCGTAGAGGATGATGCCCATGGCCCACCAGTCCACAGGCTTCCCATAGCCCTGGATGAGGATGACTTCCGGAGCGATGTACTCCGGAGTGCCGCACACCTGCGTGGGAAGCCGTGGCTGACACCTCTGCAGTGATCTTTGCAACAAGTCCCAAGGCTCTCCTGGTCCCCAGTGGCAGCAGGTCAGCCATGTGGAGCAGGACCTCCTACCTGCTTGTCCATGAACTCCCGAGTGTCCTTCTCCATGTGCCCTTCATAGAGGTTTGTGGTCATGTTCATCAGGCCGATCTTGGACAGACCGAAGTCTGTCAGCTTTATGTGGCCCATGGAGGTGATGAGCAAACTGCAAGAGAAGACAGACACCCCATAATGCTGCTGTTTGCTTCTGGGGAGACCTGAGAAGGACCAAACACACCTCAAGACCTCTAGTCCTGGTGCAACAGCACAGAACCAGGACTTGGAGCACCAAAACCCATTACCTCATTCTTCCCTATCCCTTTGGCTTTCCCTTCCCCATCCAAACCCAACCCAACCCTTGCTCAGACCTGCCCCACATCCTCACTTGTCAGGTTTGAGGTCCCGGTGGACGATGCCATAGTTGTGGAGATACTCCAGCGCGAGAACAGTCTCAGCAAAGTACATCTTCGCCATGTCAACAGGCAGTGGGCCCATGTTCTTCAGCAACGTGGCACAATCCCCTCCTGTGGGGACATAGGTCCTCCTGAGCATGGGGGGCTCAGAGAAGGCAGAGAGGTGAGTGAGCAGGGCCACACTGCCTCTCCAGCCCTGCAGGCTCCCAGCAAGACCCTCCAGAGCAGCTGATCCCCAGGCACAGGCATAGACTTTCTAAGGAGACCATGGCCTCCACCTTCATCAAGGTGAGATTTGGGATCACAAAAGCATTTCCTCATGATTCCCTCTACACTCTGGAGCAAAGCAGGACAGGAGATGTCCAGGTGATGTCCTGAATGCTCTGACATTGATATCCTTCCTTTCTCACTGCACCATCCAGCCCCATTCTCACCTTCCACATACTCCATCACCATGCAGAGGTGTCGCTTCGTCTCAAAGGAGCAGAACATGCTGACCACAAAGGGATTCTCTGCAAAGGTGAGGATGTCCCTCTCCACGAACACCTGCTGGATCTGGTTCCTCAGGATAAGGTTCTGCTTGTTGATTTTCTTCAAGGCGAAGCGCTGCCGCGTCTCCCTGTGCCTCACCAGGTACACAGCCCTAGAGACAGCGAAACGGATGAACCTCAAAATGCATCCTCCAACCACCAGGACCAAGCACACTGCACCACAGGGCATGGACAGGGAGGACTTTGGAGTCATTTACAGATGGAGACAAGTGATAGGAACTTCCCAACTCACCCATAAGCCCCATTGCTGATCAGCTTGATGGTCTCAAAGTCTCCCTCGCAGGGTTTCCTCCGAGGAACAGTGGCTGAAGGCTGGCTCTGAAGAAGACACAGAAGGTTTTTTAAAGTTTCCCAATGTGCTGGTGCACTGAGAGCAGGCAAAAATTCACCCAGCACGATTATGTATCACCTCCAAGTGCTCCTCGCTGCCAGAGACATCTCCAGCACAAACCCCAAACCAGAAGCCCAAGATGCTCTGCAGATCAAGAGCCCAATCTGAGCTCTGTCCACTCAAGAAACCAGATGAGGCACTGTGAGATCTTATCCCTGAATACATCAGTCACCCTTAGGGACAACCCAAATTAACATCTCCCAGCCTAAGGTAGCAGAGGAGCTGCTGCAAGGTGAGGCAGGAAGAAGCTGGAGGCAGCAGGTAGGACACACAGGTAGGACCACGCTCACCTCACAGGCATCATCGTTCTCTGGTGTGATGGTGTTCCCACTGTCGAAGTGATCCAGATGGACCATTTCTATGGATGACAAGGATGGTTTTCACCTTCTTCATGCTCGACCCCCACCAAAACCACTCCCCACCAACCATTCTCCCTCCAAACCCAGAGATCCCATGGGGATTTAGCCACATGCTTTGCTCGAGCTATCGTACGGAGAAATTGAGGTCATGACGTTAAGAGGTTCAACACGAGGTTAAACATTTATATAATTCTTTTTTTGATAGTCATTCCTGCATTCTCCAAGGATTATGGTTCCCCCCCAGGGCCATGGATTAAGTGTTTTTGAGCTTAATCTGCTTTGCTGAACGTGTTGGAAGCAATAATGAGGGATGTGGGGCTGGCCAGGAGCTCTTGGACATCATCCTGGTCCTGCTGTGAGCCCCTGCCATGACACCAGCTCAGCCCTACAGGTCTCCCTGACACCTCCCAGTGCTTGTCCATGATTGCTAGTGGCCAAACTGGGAGTCCACATCCTGCTGCAGATCTTGGAGCTTCCAGCCCAAGTGCTTCCCTACCCTCCAGTGGGTCCTTGACGAGCCCCAGTTGGCTGATGATGTATCGGGGAATATCCGTCTTTATTCCCTGGCCAACTTTGGCATGTCCTTCTGCAGCTTCCAGGAGATGGTAAAACTCCTCTGGGTCAAACTCCTGAATGGGGAAAACAAACCACAGTTAAGGAGTGAGATTAAAGTTAAACCTTTCCTCCAAGCCTTGCAGGTGACACCTGTAATTGGGGACAAGCTCTGGATGCATTGTTCCCCCATCATTCCCCATCTCAAGGGTTGAGGGAGAAGAAATGTAGCCCCATGAGTTGGTCTTGGAGGGGAAACCAAGGAGAGCACACCAGCAGCACACTGCATCATTGATTCCTTCTGCCAGCTGCAGAACCACAGCACAAAGCCAAGTGCTTTAGGAATCCAGCACATCAGCCAAAAAAATACTCCTAAATGGTTTGGGTTGGAAGACACTTTAGAGCTCATCTTGTTCCACCCCCTGCCATGGCCAAGGACACCTTCCACTAGCCCAGGTTGCTCCAAGCCTATTTCAACCTGTCCTTGAACATTTCCAGAGATGGGGCATCCTGGAGGTTTTGCCTCCTCTCCAGGCTGGTGCAGACCAGGAAAAACAAGACACATCAGGAGGAGGTTCCATGTCTTACCAGGCACTCCAGAAGTCGAGCAGGACGGGAGATGATGATCAGCATCTTCCTCACCAGCTGGTCAATGAACTTCACCTCCTCGCTCTCCGAACGTTCCTGAGCCTGCCAGAAAGGAGACAGAAGTCAGGTGTCTCTTGGTGGCCTCAGGAGACAGCACCAGGCAGGGAACTGCCCTGTACTCACATCTCGGAGCATCTTCTCGAGTTTCTCCTGCAGCTCCATGAAGTAGCGGGAGGTGATGAGAGCTCCCTGGGACTTTGCCAGGCAGTCACGGGCCAGCTCGATGATTTGGTGGTGGATGAAGCCCAACACTCCATCTGCCAGTGGCAGAGTGCTGCTTG